AAAGAAGCAATGCGCAACGGTTTGTTACAAAAACTTAAATACGCGGTTTACGATCAGAAAAAAAAAATAGTTTCATCCCTTTTTTCGTGACTAATACAAAATAGTCCACACCAAAATAGTTTTTTTTACTTGTATTCAAGAGTGCGACGAATTTGATTGTGAATAAGTTCCATAGGGCCGGTATACGGATTCGTTAGCGTTTTCCTCGTGAATTACGTGTTTTTGAGATAGGATACTATACTAGAAAGCCATTAACATGTCTTTGAAGAGTTCTGCTTAATACGCAGACTTCTTACAGATTTGCTCATGACAATCAAAGTTACGTATATATTTCTTTTTGCAGTTATTTGTTACCGTATATTCGTTCGGATTTTGTACGCCTTACAGCATATATTGTACTGATAGTGTCGTAACGATTTTCCCTGTTCTTAGAAAGTTTGATATACATCTCAATTCTAATAATATATAGTTTTTTTAATTGCTTAAAGAGTTTGCACTTGCCGTAATAAAATGTTAGTAGTTCCGGCTCGCGGCTACAATAAAAGGCGTTAATTAAAAAACATCAAAGCGAGGTTTACATTAGACATTTTGTTGTTCTGTATTAGACATTTTGCAACTGCCTCCGTGGTTGAACAGTTACCATGCTGGACTGCCACGCAGTAACTACAACATACACAACAACTAACTTTAAAAATATTAAATCGTATACGACTGACATACATATAAGGCAATTTTTGATATAATACTATGTTAGTTGTCATGTGCGAAATGTAGACTTAGTTTTTAGCGACATTGATACTAATTTTATTATTCAATCCCTAACATTATATGGGTATTTTAACGTCTCGTTTGATTTTAGGTACATATTTAAACCAAATGTTTGATAATTAGAACTTTTTTATTTAAAAAAAACCGACCTCAAGAGTTTGCTTATCGGCTTTTTTATTGGAATTACATCTATTTGCAAAGTTTTATAGAAATCAGTTAACGGAAAGTGCGCGAAACCGGATTCATCACCTACCTCTTAGTTTTTCAGAATTCATGTACAAAATTTAATTTGTAACTTAACACGGGCTTTTCAATGGAGGGAAATGTCGTGATGAAACCTGCACGTCCAATACAGCCGGATTTACATTTCGCGTCAGAACAGTAAGCGCCCGGACACACGAAGAGAACCGCGTAGGCAAAAGACAAGCTAGTGCCTTCCAGCTAAAAGCGAAATAAATAGAGCGTCTTTTGCCATGGCAGTTCGGTTTCTGAACACGTGCACGCGGTCGCTGGGCGGCGGCCGCCGCAGACTCCGCTCTTCGACCGCGCGGAGTGAGCGCGATGAAATTTGTGTCGTATAAACGCGCCCTAACGGTTTCATACACACAGCGCAAGCCGTCACTTCAGATTGCGGCACACTAATATAAATCTAACCATATTAAATGTGTGAAACTGATACCGTTCTGACGCATCACGACATGCAAGTCCCCAGCCCGCTTTGGGCCAGCGTGACGGACTACCTAGTGCCCACCGGGAGGCATATAATCACTTAACTCATGTTGAAGATGATGATCTTTTTGTATATATAATCATTAATATTAAAATTACTTATACAAATATGCACTCAATTCATAATCTGAATATTGTTACATAAGAGATGCGCTCGAAATAAGAATTTCAAATTGAATGCACAGTTATGCATGTTAGTGCTAAAAATAGAGCAAACAACCTTGTAATTTACAAAGACAACACTTTCAACTTCATTAGTATTATGATCCCTTAAAATGAACTGAAAACTCCTATGACCCTTCACCAAACTTGTATTACAAATGTAATAAACCTGTGGGTTTATTACATTTGTAATTCAAGTTTGGTATATATACATAATAAGTAAACTTAAAAAGATGTCTAGTAAAATGATGCGGAAATGGGTCCATGTCGACATAAAGGCGGAATTAAAAATCGATTAACACGTCACGGTGATACGCGAGTTAACACTAGTTCAAACATACTTTGGTTATCTCATCGCTAACGAAGAAGAAAGCTGTTACAAAACCATGGCATAACTGCAGTCACTGCCGCGAGGAAAGTCGAAAGCGACTCGACCGGTTGCAATCTCGGTGTCTACGATATTATTGTCATATTTGCATAGAGGCAATTGTTCTACATATTTTTTTATAAAAGTCAATTTATAGAAAGATGATAAATGTGTGCCTGTCGTAACGAAATTTAATAACGAATGATTTTTTTTCGTCTAAAATTGGTTGTAGAACCGGTTTGTTGGATTATGGTTTGTGTACTAGATCAGAGCGCTAACATAGTTACAAAATTGATCTTATTTTGTAAACTGGTTTTAAAAAATGTCGTAGAAACGTTGTTTTGTTTGTCGTTATTACGATATTAGGACCTGTTTCCACATTTATTGCCTAAAACGTTTTCACTCGTTGATCCATTTTCAAATAGTTAAATTTTTAAGTTTTTTCAATTTTCAAGTAGTACCTAGGCGCAGTTACATAGACCAAATAAAGGAAAAGGGCGGTGCCGTGTCGTAAAAGGAGGTCAAGGAGCTGGCTTATAAGAGAGATGACTAGAATAGAATAGAATCTTTCAGTCATCTCTCTTATTCGCTCCACCGACAACATTATAACTCCTTAAGTTTGATGATGAGTAGGTACTTATTACTATTCATGCTGAAAATTGTAATAATTATTATTCTTATTTTACACTTTGTTCCTGGCGTAAAGCAAGTTTCACGTCAAAATAAATAATTTACATATGTTTTATAAAAAACACGGCAAATTTAACTCCTGCTATGTAGGCTAAAAACAGTCACATTTTAATTAAGAAATAACTTCCCAAAAACACACAAATTTTATTTCCAAATAATTGCCAAGTTGCATGTTAAGCATGCATTAATTCGTCGTATCATACGGCTGAGTGCGCCTACGCTACCTATGCATATAGACGAAATATCAGTAAAAATAAGAAAGTACGTTGAACTTCAAGTATGCGATTGTCTAATTGAAACAATTAGACGCTTTTAAATGGTTTGTCGGATCATTTTCTGCATATTTAGCAGACCTAATAAAGGGCTAATCAAAACAACAGCAATTCAAAACAACCCACTGCTGCGCACGGATCTGCTCTCTGACGAGAGTTTAGGCCATAGTCGACGTGCAGGTTTCACCACGATATTTTCCTTCACTGAAAAGTTAATAACGCATGTACACTCATAGCCTCGCACTAGGGAAACCCTGTATCGCGGGTGCCATGGACACAGACATTGACAACCACAATTTAAATTTGTAAATTTCAAATTAAATGGGTTCATGTTTGTATTATATTATGCAATATAAAAAAAATACATAGTTCCTGTTTTATGTTTAAGATAAATATATGGGAATGTTGACTGTCCAATTTTTTTTTTTTTTTTTTTTTTTTACGGGGGGAGACTGTCCAATTGGCTAAAAGTCGTACGGTAACCGTATGAAGGTCCAAAACCGCGTTGGGCCATCGTGGACTATAGCCTAAAGTCTAGAATTATACGGATAATCTGGATACGGACCCAGAAATGGGACGGTCGATGATGATGGTGGTAGCCATTGCTATGAAAACTGTTTTACTTACAATAACTTGTAAGCAAAACAGTTTTCATGCCACGTACTTGTTAACATACTATACTAAAGCGGACGTGGCTACAACATACGGTCACCGACATGTTGTAGTCAGTACGTGTATGGTCGACTATCCATCACCACAATTGCTAATTGCGCTCATCAATTCGCTAATTGTAAGTTATGCTCACCATACTTAGCGCGCTCCACTTGTTCCCGTACCACCCTAGATTTCTAGCAAGTTTCCAAACACCATAAGCGGATCACATACTTAATACCTCGTGAACCGGTTGCTATTAGTGGATGCAACAAGCACGTGCTTAGAAGCGACGTCCTTAACATTGAAAACATGTTTTGTCAACTTCCTGGCTTTCTTTTATACCGTCAAAGTCAAATAATCTTTATTTCATAGGTAAGCAAATTACACTTGAAGTTTATTTGTACAAGAGCAGAGATTTTGCAGTTTTAGTGTAATGTTACATAATTAGAAAAATTTACATGACATTGTAACCTACACGGTTTGATGATTTTTGCATTTTCAGCTATTTCGGGTAGCAGAATGATTACCAGTGTGTTGCTCTTATTGAACAGCAATTACGCTGAGCTACAGTCGTTTGTCACCACAGCGCACAATGCAAAGCATTGCGAGCTTTCGTTGTACTCCTTGCATATTTTTATTTATGTTTGTCCTTTTTGTTATTCAGTTATTTTTTGTTTCTTATTTTTGCTTGTTATAATTTCTTGTTTTAAAGCTTATGTTTTATTTGTGCTGTGTTACTTTTTTGTACTATTGTTATTTCAAATTTTTATTATGTATTGCATGTGTGTGTATTTTGTGACAAATAACTATCATAATGATGACGATATCTTAAACCAACGATTTTTATCAATTCCAAAACGGTGTTAAGGGAAATGTATAAAAATAAAAACAAACGAAAAATCAAACTTCCATTGTTTTAAGAATAGCCACTGTAAACCGAGCATAAAACCAAACATAAGCCCAAAGCGATGTAAATTACGAACCCCATTGTGATTGAAATCAAATTGAATATTCGATTTTTCGTTACATTGTCACAATACTTTTGCGAAATATTTTAAGCAAACAACTGTTTTGTACGAAAATTTGCATTTATTTTGGTCGTTTCCTTTATTTAAATAAGCGCTGTTTCTTCAAAATGTGTTGTAATATTTAATTTTCTACACGCGCAAGCATAAATATATCTCCGCAATTACAAAAAACTTTCTTCCTAGAAATACAGCTACCCGAGTACAGGAAGTAGTTGAGAACTTGAATAGGTATTTTTTATTAAGTGTGTTAAGTGTTCGTCGAAAGAGCTGGATCTTTTTGTCTGTATTATACAAAGATATCAGTCATGTTTATGGTTCTAATATACCTACCTGATCATAATCCGGGGAATTGGCCAACGCTCTCGGTCTCAGTTCGTATTGGTAGTCTCTCTCGAGGTTATCCTCGGCGGATGACACGAGGATCACCAGCGCAGCCAGCGTGCTCAATAACGGCATTGCGACTCTCCATATAATACCCATAGTACTCCAGAAATATTCACGCGAACTCAGATACGCTCCCTTAACACGTCCACAGAAAGTACACACAAGACACAAACACTGTTCAAAAATCCCACAAATCAAATCTATTCACACACAAGATATATTCAAAAAGTAAGCCCTAAAGTCACCAGAAAGGATCGAAGATAAGAAGAGTAAATGAAAATAAGAAGGACGGAAAAATTGTCACGCGGACTGACTGTTCGTTTGTTCAAACTTTTTCTCTTCGAATATTCAATCGATCATTGTGTTTTGTTTCAACATTATTAAGTTTATTTGTAAACAACTGATACGGCAGTGGTTGCCGAAGGTGGTTAAGTTAGTGGATGATAAAAATGCGAGATTTCTCGTGCAGGTTTCTCGCGTTTTGTTTACGAACGTGAAAGTGATGGCGGCACACGTTAGCGCGCGACCGATCGACGCGTTCAAGTGGTGGCTGCGGACGAGCGGGATCCCTGCGCAACAACGCTACTTGCCCCAACAATACATGCATAGCATCTCCTTTCTTCCGCAGTTGATTACAACATAAAATATAAATAATAATATTGATATCATTGTTTTATAAATCTATGTCATTCACATACCTTTGAAGAAAAACACTGAATAGCGATAAATAAAACACAGATGGAACCATCAGAGCGTGTCCCGATGCAGTGCTGCAGAATATGCATATTGCATAAGATTGATATCCACTCGTCTTCTCTCTATAAACTTAGTAGAGCTAAACATTCAGCGAATAGAACACTGCAAAACTTTAAGGGTTTTTTTTTTCCTATTGTTGGACACGAATGGCTCTATTTTATTTGCCCCAACTTCGCACACGATGTGTGACGTCTAAACCATTGCATCTTCTTGCAAAATGAAAGGAATTAAGTCGCCTTCTACCAGTACCTACCAGTTGATATTGTTTTAAATTACCGGATATTGATATAGCTTAACTAAAAAATTTAAATCAGGGCGCACACAATTTTTGGTGGAAATAGACCGCCGAGATTTCAATTCTCTTCTCCCCTGATCTCGTCTCACCTGTGGTATAAACCATCCTTATGCAGTACAAAAAATAAAAACGGAAAAAAATAAAACAACTTCGTAACGCATGAAGTTATGTCGTTGCTGATTACTTTAAAATGTACTTATATAATTTTTTGTTTTATTGGAAGACTAAGTCGATTGACTAATAATTAAAAAATTACTCAATTTTCGAAAGTATACTTATTTGTCACACCGATATTCTACTCTCGCATTTGTATTAGTTCAAACTATAAGAATCTGGAAGAAAAAGTTCTTGTGAAAGTTGGAGTTTATAAACTATGTCTATCCTGTGTGTTCACGCATTTGAATAAACTCAAGAAGGCATTCTGACGCTGACGAGTAACGCTGATCGTTACTCCAAATAACGAGCAGCGTAATTCTACTAGATTTTCAACTCTTTCAATTTCCATATGTGGAGACGGCAGATGAGTATTATGTGAAACGGAATGTATACGCGCGCCGCGCCGCCTCCCCCAAGGAATGTGTGCCGCCATATTCAGCTTATATTATAGCTTGCAATATTCTGTCATTATAACTTTTATTCACAAATTTATTTTTGCAGCTAAAACTACTATTAGTAAGAGTAGAGCTCCTTGTGAAAGAGTTCGTCCAGGGAAGTACTCTCACTTTACCTACTTCTGCCATCGAGCAGTAATGTAAGCATTACTGAATTCCAGTTTTGGAACTTATCAATTTATGTCTCAGGGCGACGGGCGCAGTGGTAGAGCCCCACAGATCTTTGCGATTTTAAAGCTCAAACAATTAGACGCTCTGAGTAGCATTGCAACTGTTATGGACAGACATGTCGCTTAACACAAAAAAAAAATGTTTAATGTACATAATATAATATGCGACATTTGAAACAGATTTCAGACTTATTCAAATCTGAGAACTAGACTCGGAAGGTTCAGGTTCAAGGAGACTATGGAACAATTCTTTTAAATCTGTACATAGCAGACATTTGCCAAATACCTGTGACTATTTGGCAAAAATGTATTCTTAAGAAAACATTTTGTCGTAAATGAAATCACAGTCTGCAAAAGCAGTAAAAGATGACCTGCCAAATAGACAAACAAAAATACGGGTACTTATGTGCTATGTTTAGTAATTTTTTGTAAAAATTGACACACAACATTAATACGAGGAATAAAAATAAACTGGCTGTTCGTGACAGTCGCCTCCACAAAGTCACATATTCAGTTTTGATGCAATGTTTTCTATAATAAGCTTCCGGTTGATACCTATTCAAAATTTACGATTTATGAGGTTTAGAACTATAATGCATAAGGTTTGAAACTAATGCAACAAAAACTTCACACTAAAAGTTATAATAGCTTGTGAGTACTTGGATGACAAAACCTATTTTAGTGACCCGTTTAGCTCTTGCAAGTTGTCTCGGTTTATGTGAAATCTTATCTTTTTTAAATAAATAATGTAATGACAAATGTGTATAAATATTCTTACTCATGCTTCTCAGGGGAACCTGCGTTACGCAAATGTAGTTAGTCAACTACATTTGCGTAAGGCAATTTAATCAATGTTACAATTTGAAGTGTAATTTTCTTACCTATAAAATAACCATTATTTGAGTTTTAGTTTCATGTAGATATATCGCTAAAGAAAAAAAATGGCCTGGAGAATTTACCGCAATTATGCAACTACAACACCTCCTGTTGCTTGATTTAACCTGCCCGATTTGTTTGTGAAAACGAAACTTGTTACATAACCTTGTGTTACATTACGTGCCAATCAGTACTTTTTGATTTTGTGTTTTTTCGTTTTATGAACTTTGAATGTTGTGGTCGTCGTATTTTTTTAGTATTTTTTTTAATGGAGTCCATGATTCTGTTAGTGCTTTGTGTATGGTCAAAATAAGATACTAAACATTCTAACTGTATAAGAGTAGACAAGTACTTAATGACTTGGCATATCAACCATCGTGGTTAACCATCCGCTTATTTGCCACTTTCTTATGATTTTCTTACATCTGATATACATTCCGGAACACTAAGAGAAAACTCACTCAAGAAACTGACCGATGACCATTTACTAAAGATGTTTGAAAAATCTTTTGTAATAAAAAATCTTTTCATAGAGAATAGTCTCTTTTATTGTGCATTGTGCCATAGTTGGCCAAGTCTCTTATTGGTGCTTAGCTCCGTATTGGTCATACTTTTTTCGACAGAAGCCATTTTTATACAAATATTTTGTCGTCGTTAATCGTCCATAACCGAACGAACTGCGCCTTCCGCAACACAATGACAGCCGAGAATCTGAATGTCACGCCCACCTGCCGCATTTCTCCATCGCTTTTCTAACAATATTTCGCTAAGTTATACCTTACATAACCATTGCAAATACTGTATTTTGAGTCTGCAAAATACATAGTACAATAAAAAGATAAAGCGTACCTACAATGGACGAAGTGAGCTATAGAATATGCCTATATTGCAAAATAATCGGTGCACCTATTATTCTGTAAATTTTTTTTTGTCTTTTGAAACCGCACCTCTTTGTATTTACTACTTTATGAAAAGAAGGAATAATTTTAAAATATATAAATATTTTAATAATCTAAACCCGAATTTTTTTTAAAGAACGATGGCGAAAGATGACCCAATATCAGTCACTCAGCAGTGAGGGACCGACAGAGGATATGTGGAACGTAAATTAAAAGAGTTTTGTCAAAACTATGAGCAACGTAAATTAGAAACGCGAACTTTCAAAACTCCTTGGTAAACAAACACGTACTTTGATATTTACTTTAACAACGAGAATTTCGTCCAGCACGTCTTTACTTATGTTGAATCTCATTTACCTAATAATCTGGCCCCACATTTATGATTGTATCTCGATGTATGGGGCTTTGTTCGTACGTTTCACGCGCTCTTACTTTCCTCAGTGAGATCTTGCAGCGCAAAAAGCTCGTTACTGCGAATAACATGCATCAATACGCTACATAATGTACAATATACTTAATTGGTCATATACCCTGTTTGTTGTTATAGCCCTTGTCGTCGAGCATACACTTAGTAAACAATCTCTTCATTTTGCGGTTATGTTACGCATAGAACCTCGTCACATTGTTTTGCATATTTTCCGAGGCCTTTTGTCGTTGATTGTTAATTGTAAGCATAATGGAAATAAGTAAAATGGATACGATTTAAATAGTGTAAATATAATATATGATCTTATAATCAGTATGTTTAAACTGCCTCCGTGGCAACGGTTACCATGCCAGACTGCCACGAAGAGGTCTCAGGTGCGATTCCCTGGCCGGAAGAAATATTAGTATGGCCTACATTTATTTATCTCGTGAGTTGTTTGTGTGTCCATGGCAACCGCGACACAGGGTTTCCCTCATAGATATAATATCTATGGTTTCCCTAGTGCGGGGCTATGTTGATTGAGTGCGTTATTTATTATTTATTTATCCAAATAATTTATGATATTATTTACAGTTTGTGTAATACTGAATCAATATTGGTCATGCAGAACACTTGTACAATGGATTTTTTTGTCCGCTACACACTGTCACTTTTTATTTACTTAACTTATAATAGATCTCCAAGTAGGTGTTTAGCGCCTTCACTAGGAACTAATAATAAAACAAATACATATGACTCTCATTTTGAAATTAGTCTTTATGTATTACCAAGTGCACATCGTGCGTTCTCGACAAGTTAAGTCATTGCTCAAAGACAATTTATATGCAATTAATCAATTTATAGCGCTCAATAACAGACAAAAACAATAAAACAATAGTACGAAAACAAAAGTGAAAAATACGTAATAACATAAAAGTAAAAGTGCATTTGGCCCTCTATTGTTCAATCGAATTTGGTCACATGGCTCATGTGGGAATCTCTGAACTGAGAACATATTTTAAAATCATTATGAATCTTCCGCTTCCTGGTTACAGTTGTTATTATGAAATTTAAATAAGTAAAATTAAATACGTAATAATACACAATTTTTTCACATAACAATGTCTTATGTTACAAATTAGACTCACACCATTTGCTGCTGTGTCAACTAAGAAGCGTATTATTGATTTTTATTGAATATCGTATTGTTTTACTATTATGATTTTATTATATTTTGACTTCGACGACCTCCGTAGTCGAGTGGCTTGCACACCGACCTTCGTGATATCGCCATTTTTGAGGTGTTCGATCCCCGATCGGGTCAATGTAGAAACTAAGTTTTCTATATTGTCTCGGGTCTAGGTGTTTGTGGTACCGTCGTTGTTTCCGATTTTCATACCACAAGTGCTTTAGTTATTTACTTTGGGATCGGAGCAACGTACGTGATGTTGTCTAATATCTTTAGATTTATGTATTTATTGTGAAAATATTCCATAGTTTCTCATAATTATTCATACAAAGATCAAACACAAAGGCCCTAGTTTCGAGGTTCGAATCCTATCAGATCTAAGTAATTTTTCTTTGCGTTCGATCTTTGTATCGTTAATTATAAGAAACGTATATCTCATGATATATAAATATGAACATAATCGGTTTTCATTTATTTGAATTACGTGACCAAAATTTATTCCTTTTACGATTAACCCACAAACCGGTAAATACTCGCCGTTCATTTTATTACATACTTTACAGAGAATCAATATGTTACGTGAAATCTTATCGTAATTATACTAACGACTTCCGCGAAAATATTGGATTCCGCGTAACATGCTTGTTGCACCTATGAAATCTCTTGTCCATAATTATTGATTGTTCAAAAGCTTTACTCTAATTTAGACAGACTACGAAATTGCTGCATAAAAATGTCTATCTAGCTGAGGCTACCGAAGCAAATGTGGAGCGACTCCGCAAATAATGGCGCAGCATTTGATCCCTGCTAAGCGTAGTTTGACCAATAAAGATATTTGCTAGATGGAATAGATATAGAGATAGATATGACGAGTATGGTAACTCCACAGAAACGTAGCAGCGCGGCTTGTAATAATGAAAGGCGCGTGAGACGACCAGTAGACAGTAGACATTATGCCAATATGTGTACATGCCACGCGTCGGGCACGCACACTTACAAGCCGCGCTGCTACGTTTGAAGGGAGTTACCATACTTGTCTTCGTTAACAATGTTACATGAAGTATTCGTTCAAACTTATGATTTGGCAGTAATTATAATATTCTACTATTAACGAAGCTACTATTGCCTAATGTATTTCTTTTTTTGTCAGATGGGCTGTATCAACTGTGATGACTCGACAGAACAACATCCAAATGTCGAACGCGGACATCACAGCTTTCATTCCGCTGTGGGATATGTGCAACCACGAACACGGCAAAGTATGTACACTAGTTTCCATATAAACTGCACCAGTTTTACATGTATTAGTCACTAGTGATATTATGTAGGATGTATATGGTATCAACCTTTCTGCATCTAGGAATCTTAAAATCGTGGTTCCCGGTTTCATATTTTTAAGGGGAGTATAACTTTAAAGCCTTTCTCTATCGTCGGCTAAATACGTAAACCTAGTACCTCCATTAATGGGAACTTTTGAGTAGGTACAAAAAACAGAATTACCAGAAATAATTTTATATAACAATCTATCTATCCAAAAAAGGGTCTAGAAATGAAATTATATTTTAAACTTTAAGTAACTGATATTGCGCTTGAAGAGCAAAAAATAAGTTTCATTCAAAAACGTAGGTACGAGGTTTTAAATTTAACCGACTCTATTTGTTTGTGTCATCATAGTTTCCAAGCGGATTGACTGATTTCGAAGCGTTTTTTTTTATTTGAAGGCTAATTTTGGTGGTTCTTAGCTAATTAACTATTTTAACTATTTAAATATCATCAGCTCTATTCTCAGTCATAAAATGAATATTTAACCTCCACGTGCATGAATGCCTTGAAATTTGTGATACTATGGAAATCTGATAACATAAAAATAATACGGCAACCTTGGTCTCATTCTGTAACTAAGACAGTCTGCAGACTACCTAACTCCTCAATTATTACTTACATTAGAATTATCGTGTTTGGGCTTCTTATTAAATATTTTATTAAATACTTTTTGAGTACGCTACTTTATATAGGGGTATAATAAATTTTAATGCAATATATTGTTATTATTAAAACGTTAAATAGCACGTAAATATTTGTTCGTAATACAACAGATTACTTAATAGTACGTAAGACATACATCACTCTCATACAACATCGAAAATACCTACGCTATAATTGCCTACTAAATCTGACTAATGGCACCAGGCTCTCGCTACGAGGAATGAGAAAAAGGACCCTAAGCATGCACACAGAGAGGTAAAAATAATACTTATTCCAAGTCGTCACCACTGGCTTTGTTCCTGCTGACGACAACTGGGAAAAAACCTGTTACCAGGTGGTGACAAACGGGATAAAAAAAATCCCAGTTGTTGCCAGTACTGATTTCCACTGGCGACAAATGGAATTTAAAATATCCCAGTAATTGCCAGTGGTAACAAATGAAATAAAAATACAGACTGGACAGGTAGTTGGTGTCCAGGCTATCTGAATCATTCTAAATTATGTCATTATTACAGTGATTTTTAATATGTATGGTATTGGAAACATCTGTTGTTTAAGACTGATTTTTAAAAATAATTTTTGTATTTTTACCATTAAACTCGAATTTTATTTTATTCCCTTTCGATGGCGGCAATAAACAAACATTAATTGGCATATTTTATTTTATTTGTTACCACTGGCAACTACTGGGATATTTTAAACTCCATTAACACTCCATTTAAAACATATTTATCCCATTTGTCACTACCTGGTAACACATGGGCTTCTTTTCCCATTTGTCGCCAGTGGAAATTTACCACTGGTAACAACTGAGATTTTTTTGTCCCATTTGTCACCACCTAGTAACATATGGGTTTCTTTTTTCATTTGTCACCAGTGGGAACAAAGCCAGTGGTGACGACTGGGAATAAGCGAAAATAACGTTGCCCGCTGTGTCGTGTGGAACTGAATGCTGGGGTTGAACAAGGATTGTAATGTAAATAAAAGACTTATTTGAGCGCTTGTACTGTCGGCGATACACTCAGCGGTAGGCACTTACCTTATAATCTCGAGCGAGTGAAAGAGCCGGTAATACACATATTATGATGTCACAAATATGATATTAAAAACAATCGTACATTTATGTTCGATACTGAATATAAAATTCCTTTGAGCATAAACAAATTTCTATATTCTTTGTCTAATTCTCTTGTGCTATTCTAAGTGTGGATTATGCAATTACATAATGAGAAATAACGCAAATACATCTCAAATATCACAGCTTTCATCCTATTTGAACATGCCCATAATATGCAATGGCTAGTAAAACAAGATGAGCAGACATGTTTTTGCTTATAAAGACGTACGTTGCAAGTTGTATGAGTTGAAGAGAAATTTAAGTTGATTTTCTTTTGTAATTACTTTTTTCAATAAATTGCTAGTGACTTAGTTTGGATATTTTGATTTGATGATTTTATGTTCACGACTGTCTGGACAGCTGCCCTTCTTATGTATTATTTACGCAATCATAGCCACAGATGATATACACCACGGGTGGCATCGAATGTACGTTTTAAGGATAGTTCCTCAGTTCCGAACACGTCTATATATAAGCGGTGATAACCACTCTGTATATTATGTACAAAAACAACACAGAATTTTACTGATTAATAAGACTGAAGATCTGTGTGCCATATAACATAAAAAAGATTATTTGAAAAGTAAATTTTGCTACACAACAAACATTTTAATTTAATGCACATACATGAGTAAGTAATCAGCAACCCATTTATACGTCTCACTGCCGAACACGGACCTCCTCTCAGGCGAGGCTTTAGGCCATAGCCCGCCGTGTTGACCCAATGCGGGTTGGTCACTTCATACGTTTCCTGAGGGTTGTGAATCTTCTTCGACGCGCAGGTTTCTTTACGACGTTTTTATTCACCGAAAAGCTCATATTCAGAAGCTACGGCTTATGCTGACATGAGTGTATATGTCATACATAATGCTTTGTGCCATACAATCAGAAAAAAGCCCTGCGCCAGGTATAACACTCAGTTTTTTATAAACTTCAGAAAGTTATTTTCTAATACAGATAACAACAGAATACAACAAGGAGTTAAATCAAGGCGAGTGCTACGCGCTACGTGATTTCCAGCCCGGCGAGCAGATTTTCATATTCTACGGAGCGAGACCGAACGCTGATCTTTTCTTACATAATGGGTAACATTATTTACATTTTTCATATAAAAAATCTTCATCAAGAATCTTTAGTACCCTTCGTTCCTCTAATATGTTCGTATTAAACGTCCTCTCATACTTCCGAGATTTACTTCTACTCTTTTCCTATGTCTACTATCCAGCTACTATTCCCTCTCTGAATCGGATTGTTAAATTATTATAAGTCATGGAACAAAAACTGTTATTTATGATGTTAGTAATGAGGGTATTAATATTTTACGAATAACCCTGTATAACATCACGTTATAAATGTTTATTAAGTAAGAATTTATTCTCCTAGAACAAGCGAAAGTTTCACAACAACCAAGATTGTTAGATAAAAATAATTATATCCATAAAACAAACAATTAAAATTATAAAACAATTTATGTACATTGCAGATTAAATGACAAAGCATTAAAGAATTTAACCCCAGCGACTTAAGAACTAAATTTATAACATACAATGGGTTTTTAGTACAACGTGCACTAGGAAGAACCACGTAACCACCGTTAGTGGTTAGTACGATGACTTGTGGTCAAATTAATCAAGCACTCTTCAAGTGTTGCAATAGTTATGTATCGACACTGATATTACGAAAATAATAAGACGAATGTGGTGGCTATGATGTCTTAAACAATTCGTGTGTTCCAGTCGAATTGAGGGATTATGTCATTATTTTATTGACTTCCTATGTAATATATAAAAAATTGTATTAGCGGTATTAGTCTTGAAGACAGAATGCGAAACAGTGTAGTATGAGAACGTTGGGGTAGGAATGATGATGTAGTGACCAGGATAGAGGGGACAGTTTCGACGGTTTAGTCATGTAAAAAAGGAATGTTGGTGACAGCACAAATTTATAGAGAGAATGTGGATAGAGGCTTGGGTAGACCTCGACGAATATGTATATCTCAATCAGATTGCGGATGTCCTTGAAAAGATCAGGTTGGAAGTACCACGAATAAACAGGCATGTATTAAGAGACTGACGAGAGTGGAGGAGGAGATTTATCAGAAGCATAGCCGGTGGAGGTCAATAGTCTCTGCCTACCCCAGTGCAGACAGACGTGTTGATATGTATGTGTGAATTAGGAAGCTTTTTATTAAAATATCAAGGTACGGGACGAACAAGTAGTGCGACTTAAGCTACACGCCTGTCCATAACAGTTGCAGTGCCACTTAGAGCTTTAAATCGCAAAGATCTGAGGGGCATTGCCACTGCGCCCTTCTTTCTGAGATATAAGTCCCATGTGCCTAAAATTTCGAGCGCGAAAAAATATATGTTTGGGTAGTAAATAGGTAGTAAATATAAATATCAAAAACGTCAATGATATATTGCTAAAACGTTGAGAAAATCAAAGGTGTTCAGCCAACCTGATGTCAGATTGGCTGGCCACTTCATTCCTTTACTATATTAATTATATTAATAATATATTAATTATATTATAAACAACATATGCAAATCAAACTGTTGGTATTATTTACTGCCTATATTTGTATTGTGGATTGGTTTATGGATTAATATAATTAATATATTTATATATTAATTATATACTATACGGTAATGGATTAATATAATTAATATAGGCAGTAAATAATACCAACAGTTTGATTTGCATATGTCGTTTGGTCCAGACATCCTAACGGTCGCGCTGTCTACCTTAACTCCGACCAAATAATTGTATATCATCGATTTCTATTATCTTTATTTATTTTCAGTTTTGTATATCCCCACAACCAGCACGATAGCCTTTCTTTGGCGCTTGGCGTGAGCTCAAGCGATCCCCTCCGAGACACCAAACTCGCTCTATTAAGCAAGCTAGGACTAGCTGCTGTCACGCACTACAATCTGTATAGAGGGGACAACCCTATCAGTCCAGAATTGCTGGCCTTCATTAGGATATTTAATATGAACCAGGGTGAGTGAAGATAATCTAATTTATATCCTTCTAATTTATATGAATATTATACAGGCTGTAAGAAAAAGGTTATCAGCCTCTACTTGTGCTGGCGATCACGATTTCGGTGATTTCAGCAAAAATATAAAGTACGAATAAATGTGGTACAACGAAAAAAATATTGGTTTATCGAAAATTTGAATGGGGAATAAATTATTTTTTGTCGCTAATATTATTATTTAGTTATTTGTTGTTATTAGTATGATTACTATACTAAGTTTAGCTGTACGTCTTTGTTACATCCTGTATAATAGAAGAATCATTAATGACTATGTTTTTGTTAGAAATATTTTCTTTTTTCCATATATAAAATGACCTTTAGACAATGAGATGCTTACAAAAGTCTTCATATAAAATATTTGCGTATAATTTTTTTTATACACAAAGCAGTACCAATAAGTTACATTAGTGACGCGTAAAAGAAATGGCCAATATGTCTCTGACTTGGCACACTTGCTAGTGATAAATATTGATACACACAATACAACTATACAAAATAACAGTTTTGACATGAGTGGAGCACCCAGAAAATACTTCTTGTGCACTGATAAACAATGCTTACCAAGTACTTAGGTATTATTGTTTGCATTTGGTGCTATTTGCTGCTTGAAACCCAATTCTAAGTCACAATCAGTGAAAAATCCAGAAAGGACGTCTTTAGCGCAGACTATAGATACTGCTGTGTCATATACCGTCTTTGTCTGTTCTCGTCAATACTGCTACCTTAAATTAATCCAATACAAATTTGCATCCAAATTTGTATTGGACTAATTTAAGAAAAAAACTAAACATCGGTAAAGCATTGCCAATAAAAAGAACTAGAAGTAATCTTACAAAAATTAGTTCTGGATAAATAAAATTGTAACGAAAAAACAAAACTAAATACCACATGACGTCTCCCGCTATGTTTAGGTCTCCTCTGCCTAAAAGATTGTCTGGAGGAGATATCGCATGGCTATAATACCCCCTTTGCCCACATAATTTCTAAATTGTTTATGTACCGTGTTTGTTCTTATGTGTGAGCGATAAAGTGTATATCTAAATCTATTGTTTGCTATCTTTTATTGCATCATAAGAATGGTATTGAATTGAAAATATACCACATTCAATACCAAATTAAACATAACTTGGTTTACCGAATATTTCCTTTGCAAATACAAAAAGCTTTTGTCCTTTATAATGATACCACTATAGACTTATTCCACTTATTGAACTTCTTAGAATATCCGTGAATGTTTGTAGAGGAGCTAACAAAATGGTCAAGCCAGGGCATGCCGGGAGACTTAGTATCGTCCGAACCAACAAACTCAGACGCAGTCGGCGCCGCAGTTGACCACAAGGCGTACAAATATCTGTTCACGAGATGTGGGCTGCTCAAAGCTGCCTATAAGAAGAGCAGTGAGGATGAACCCGACTCCTTGCATAGGTAAATTTATTTTCAAACTATTAGAGTACGCTGTCTTAATCTTATTTGTTCTCGTAGTTCTGATATCGACCTGTGCTAACGTCTCAATTGGAATCTGTATGTCTTCGAAGGTCTAAAGATTCTTAGGTCTATACGGGGTGTAATCAATCGTTAAGTGTGCCCTGGCGATTGTTCCATAAATATAAGAGATATCAAAAAGCTTTAAACTGATACCAAAAGTACTTTACCTAATGAGTAAATCAACTTCAACAACTTTATAAATCATCAATCAAATTATCATATAACAAACCAATCGATAAAATTTAATAAAACGTTATTAGTTTTGTATGAAAAAAACTTTTTATTAAATTTGACGAACTTCTGCCGTCCCGATTTTTTTTTCGTCGCATACAATGGAATGGTCCTTACATGAACCTGAGTCGATCAGCACTGACAAAAATTGGATCAGTTTTATTCATTTTTATAGACAACTCACATTTGACCAAATAATTGACTATGCCATATGTTTTGTCATGTGTTAACTTATTGTTACCTCTTACAGTGTGAATGTCATATTAAATTTATGGGGGCGTTTAATATTAAAATTGTGGACATGTTTCATTTGTAAAAAGTGATTGATATCGATTTACTCATTAAGTAGCGTACTTTCGATATCGGTTTAAAACTTTTTGATATCTCTTATATTTATCGAATAAACGCCTGGGCAGACTTACGACTACACCCTGTATATAGATCTTATCTAAGGTTCTCACAAGAACATTAACGGTAACAGTCAATCTGAAAGTGGTTGAGACAGTTTAAATGTTTCTGGTCATCTATCTTTATTTATAACCGACTTCAAAAAAAGGAGGAGATTCTCAATTCGACTATATTTTTTGTGTGTGTAATGTTACGCGATTACTCCGACATTAATTAGTGAACCGATTTCAATGATTCTTTTTTGTTGGAAAGGATCAGTGGTCCCATTCAAATTTGAAGAACGTATTCCACTTCAACTTTTTCACAAAATTTAACATCTCAGCCTTTTTTAGCTTTCAACCGTTGATAAATTATTTAACGTTATGATAAAATCTTAGATAATCACCGAGTTTTCAATTTGACTATAAATTTGTCATTATGGCCTCTTCGATATCAGCTTATGGATGGCTAACTGGTATAAGCTGCTTCAAAATTGGAGTATTTGCATTACATTTGCATATTATCCACGTTTGGCAGAAACTGTCAACCAATATACACCGACTATGACGGTGTTATATAATTTACTGCTTTTACCTCTTAAGTCATTCGCTAAACATTAGACGACCTCCATGCCTCAGCGGTTAGCAATATGGACGTTAGTTGACAAGATCCCGGGTTCGATTCCCGGAAAAAATTGTTCGTCCCGTCACTTGATATTATAAAAAACAAAAGAAATAAACTATTCTAAATTACTTATATTAACTGAAGTAACGGACAACTCATCATCATCAATCTATACGTACCATGTTAGGCACGGGCGTCTTCTCAGGCGAGGGTTTAGTTACGCCGTAGTCCGCTACTTTGGCCCAATGTGGATTGGGACTACACATTTTTTCTGAGGTTTGTGAACCTTTTTCAACGTGCAGGTTTCATCATTCATAATGTCTTCACGCAAAAGTTCTTGATGAATTTCAAATTAAATTTCGCACATAAGTTACGAAAATCTCAGTTGTGTGAGCTTGGTTTCGAACCCATGGCCTCTGCGTAAGAGGCGATAGGTACCATTTACCATTACGCTAACATACCTTTTAGTTAAGGTGCGTTCCCACTATGTCGTCACGTTTTATTATCGTTAGACGACTATCGTGTCTAGCCTGTTCCCATATCACGACTATCTGTCGTGGACGATTTTTTATCGTTGAACGACTGTCGTGACTAGCTGTTCCCACTAGATCGTGACGACAATTTATGGTTTCACGACAGCCTCCTTGCCCATCTCTGGCTACGACACAACGCTACTGCAAAGCGAGCAGAGGGCGCGGGGTACGAGTGGGGAGAGCAGGGAGCAAAATACGTGCGGACAGCGATAAATAAAACGTGACGACAATAGGAGCTGCGACAATCTGTCGTCACGTTTTTATCGTGACGTTTTATTATCGTCTGACGACTGTCGTTCCATCTGTTCCCACTGTGGCGACAGATTGTCGTTGTAACAATAAAAAGTCGTGAACGACAGTTAATCGTGTCGTGCTATATGTGAACAACTTCATTTAAGTATACAAGCCACGACACTGTAAACTGCACGACAATCTGTCGTCATGACTTAATGGGAACGCGCCCTGACCGCTGCGGAAGCTGTGAACTTTCGGAAAAAATGTGTAACCCCAATCCGCAATTGACCAGCATGGCGGACTATGGCGCTGAACCTTCGCCTGAGAGGAGATCCGTGCCTAGCAGTGGAACGTATGGGTTAATGATGATGAGTTATCCTTTAGTTTAGTCAATATGTGCGAGTCGCATGATAATTTTCTATTTAAAATATTCTAACTAGGTTCTGGTCTAGGTGATCTGGATAGTGCCCCGATGTTAATGCCGTTGTTCTTGTTTGTTTTTTATTAAAAATATTTTTTCTGGCATTCATATTACAGGGAATTCTCCAGTTTGCGACCAGGTAATTGTTGTGATTGTCTGTCATGTTATTACATTACTCATTTCAGGAGAAACATAAAATTACTTAAAGAATGCGAAGTACAAATATTAGAGGGTGCCATACATTATTTGGAGAGTATACTGCAGAAACTATCCACCGAATAGTAACTACATAGATGATTACATCATTTGAAATCATTTTTTAAAATTATGTTAATTTAAAAAATAAGAACAAATCGTGACAGTATTCATTGATGGCATTCATTGAAAAGACTCCATTCATTTTTTGTGACTCGAATTCCGCTGTTTATATATATAATCTAATATGTATTTATTACATAATATGCGATCAGTCGCGTATCAGAATACGCAACTCTATACAGAAAGTTGCCATATTTATTTAAAATTTTACAAATTAAAGTTAATGATCTTTTTTAAATATTTTCTAAAACTTTACAGAGCCAATTTTGAACGGAGTCTTTCATGTAAAGTCGTATTTTTATTTTACCATAATTTATCTTATTATTTTAAATAATGTAAGTGTTTATTTGTGTTGATATGCATCTTACAACGATTACCGAATTATTTATATTTAATCATGTGTGCTAGTCATCGAGTATCTGGTTATATACTCGATGGTGCTAGTTTATGAATTTGTTTTTGTACTTTATGTGACTTACAACGTTGTGTGCAATATATTTTTGATTTATCAAGTCTATGCATTTTTATTGTCATTGCAAAAGCTGTAAAAATTAATATCAATAGATAAAAAGAAACAAATACGTTATAAGTTCCCCAGTTACCAATTATAATAAACCAATATTTCACACTTTCATTTATTTCATATAAATAAATAAATAAAACATACATAAAAAATCGACAAATTTATTGCGTTTACGGAGACAGTATTTTCGTTTTATTACAAAATTTCTTAAAAATAATTTAAATTAAATACATAAAATTAAACACACACAAAATCTTATCCCTTAAGCGTAATATTTACAAAACCTGTTCTGCGTATTCGTATTATATACTTCGTCTGCATTAAGAATAAATATTCTATATTAAATTTAAATATTCTTATCTGAGTATTGTACTTGGAAGTACCTAGTACTTATCACATACTACGAAACTGCTTGAGTATAAGACAAACAGACAAACAGGAGGAGCAATATTTTATTTGAAAAATATCAGTCCTCTCAATTCGTCTCTTGAGTTCATTTATAACTAAGAGTTAAAACTGCTTACAGTTATGAGAATTTGTTTATATAAATTACTTATTTAATACAATCACGGGCAATTTAATTTGAAATAACTCCAGTAATTATAAAGCTAGGCTTTTATTAGCGTCTGTTGTACATAATTTACGCACTATTATAACCGTGACAGTTAGAAAGAAGTAACTGTTTAACAATAAAAAATATGTTCCTTTCTTTCATATACCTTTACGTGTTCTGTGATTTGAACTCAGCTCGGATCTTGAAATTAACATCTTTGTATGAATGTATACACTTTTAAAAAAACAAAGATATTTTAAACAACCCTACGAATCGCCACGCGCCGAAACGAGATTTTTTCGCAGTCGGTTTTCTTATAAAAAGAAATACAGGTGGTCCAAAATTCATTGCCCACGAGTTCATGAAGTTTTGAAAATTTTAACAAGTCTAAAAAAAATATTGACGTGATAAATTCTTGAGTTAAAGAAATATAGTGTTTAACAAATCCGCTTATCGATTTGTGGAGGAAACAACTCTAAAAATATGCACCACCTAGGTACTATAGGTGGTCCGTACTCGTATCTTCAAGTTACTCGAAAGACAATTTACGATATACAATAATACGTTTACAAAATACAATACGTTTATAAACTGAAATTCTATTGACACAAAGAGAAATGGCTACGTTAAAGTGTTTTATTACAGTGATCGATAACGGTATAAAAACATACTTAGATACATCCGCAATAAAATACATAAAAACATAGAACTACTTTGGCTATGAGAAAACATCATATAAAATATTGAATAAGTACAGTCAACCGGGGTAAACACATATATGAAGGAAGTACATTTTTACAATTCCAAAAATTCCTACGCACTTAGGGTGGGGAGGAGAGCGTAGGTAGAGAGTACTTTTCCGACTTAAAGAATTCCCCTTTTAATAAGTTACCAGTATATATAGTAGCCGAATTGTTTTTTTTTTATGATACCAAGTGACGGGACGACCAAGTCGTGCCCCTGCTGGTAGGCGACATGCCTGTCCAGTGTCCTTAACAGTTGCGGTGCCACTCAGTGCATTAAATCACAAAGATCTGTGCGGCACTACGCCCGTCATCCAGAGACATAAGTTGACAGGTGCTGTGCCCGTAATTTCACCAGCACCCTTATCCTTCAAAGCCGGAACGCAGTAAAGCTCACATTACTGATTGGCGGCAGAAATCGGGAAGGTGGCAGTACTTCCCTGGACGAACTCTTTTGCAAGGAGCTCTACTCCTACTAGTTCATTTAAATAGCCCCGCAAACGCATTTAGCACAGTTGACTTGCTACGTTCTATGGGGCAATCTAAACATTACTTATATTCAATAAAATCACAGTAATTACTACTGCTACTTTACACGGTATTGAGACCATAGAAAGGCGCCGTTCCAAAACGAAACATTTCTCTAGCCTCTATATTACATATTTAAATTCAGTGGTTTCCTTTTCTTACTTAAATATACTTGTTTTCTTGTCTCTAATGTTTGTATTTTCAAGAATCTGGAAGTCGAGAAATGCCTTTGACGTACGTTACATAGAAAAGAAAACAAAGAAAATCATTCACATATTTTATGGCATAATTCAAGCTGCTATGAACTCAGAACTTGTGTATGACAAAGGACCTTGTAATATGTTATTATAATAGCATACAACTACCATGATTATTACACTATTACGTGCTATTAATTTTCTGCAATTTCTTTTGGCATAATAATACCAAAAACGCACCAGAACCGCAGTGAGTAATTCTAATTTGAGTACAAAATATATTGGTACCATTGTGTACAACTGAAGTCACGAAGAACATTACATTTTTTAAAATAGAAATTGCAATTGTCATGACATATAGGACGTTAAAACGCAACGAGGACAATAATAGTGTAGTAGTAGACTTAGAATTTAGCACCACAAAAAGCAAACCACTTTATTAATTAATTTCTAAAAAAACTATAACTTTTATTTTATTCTTCCTTTGTGTGGGACGTATACGTGGTGAGGCGTGAGGCCTTCCCTTCGTTTCCAACCTCGCGCTGCGACCAATAACGCCGCGAGTAACGCTGCTATGAGGGCCCCACATGAAGCCATAATGGCGGATAACGCCGAAGTCTTCATACAGGTTTGGCCTTCCGCTACTCCTGCAAAGTACAATTTGACCTAAAGTAAGTGAAATTATTTAATTTATTTATTGTACAAAAATGCTTCAATTATTTTGACATATTTGTTTTGATAATCCATTCTTTTATAAATATTTAAAAATGCTTTATTACTTAATAGGTAAACCATGAGCTAAAATTATTTTCTGAACTTTGACAAACATGCGTGGCAATAGATAGCATTGTTCGTTACAAACTAATTCATAAATTAACGCTTTCTAATATGGGTACATGGCGCTAATACTAAACGAAATAAAAGAATAGCCGGCAGTATCCATGAAAATCAGTGCAATAAGCGCCAATTAGTTGATTTGTTTGTTATCACTAGAAATTAGAGTAGCTTTGACAAATTGCAGCTCGTTATTGTAAAACAAATTAGTTACAAAAATAGCTATTTGGTACTCATCGCGACGTCTAGTGTCAGATAAATACCCGACTATGCAGTCTTGTATCACGATTAGCAGTCTTTTTGGGTTATTGGTCCAAGATGTACCTACTAAAAGTACATAATTATTTTATATTTGGACGCTATTTTCATGAACAAAAAAGTTTTTAATTTGTAATTTCTTATTAATCATGAAAATAGCTGTAAAAAACGTAAAACAATGTATCATCTATAGAAATATTTTTGAAAAAAATTAATGTGGCTTACATCACTATTGCGCTGATAACCTCAATTATTTAGTAGTAATTGAAATGTAGTCATTAGATTTTTCTATATTAGGTGATTTTTTTGCGAAGAAAAACCACAAGGAATCTGGTAGATTTCATAAAGTACCTACCTGTCTTAGCAGCAAGTTCGGAATCCTCCTCTCCCTCTTGCAACACTCGCAGAGACTGGAAGAGCGATATATTCTCTGAAAGCCTCGGAGCCACACTGGCCGGCTGTTCCGCCATTTCAACTGAACGTCGCTTCACGCTCTTCATATTACGCCAGTGACATGGTTGCGACTGTAAATTTTCAATAGATGTGTTGAAAAGCACAAAAATACGACGCACTAACAAAATCTAAAGAAATCCGTTTCGCTGAGCCTGGCCAATGTATTTTGACGAAAAAATCACGCTTTCTAATTGAGAGTTGACGTGAAACTTACAGAACCCCTTCATGCGAATTCAATCGCAAAGAACTATATACTCACTGGACATCTCCCATGGCACATGCGGACGTCGCATTCGATGTAAAGCGCTGGCGAACCGGTGAAACGGAACGTCTTCATGTACGCATACACTTGCGTCTCGAATACACCAGATTCGGACCAAGAGCCCCGAAAACGAGATATTAGTTTGTCATCTACTGGACATCTGTGGAAGAATAATAAAAGCAAAGTCAACTTGACATCATATTATCGCACGTTGAAATCGATACTGTCACTAAACAAAAAAGTCAACTTATGGGAAATGGTCATTAAAGTTTCTGAATTGGAGTCTAAATTGTCGACTATTTTTTTGGATTATGTACGTGATAGGGATCGTCTTTACCTAACTTTAAAGAGTTGAAGCTAGCTAACAAATATCCCCACAGTATTTGAGACTTTTCTCTTTGATAGTGCTTTCGCCAGTAATTAACATTTAGTTAAATAGAGGGCGCCTTACGATTTTAGGAAAAAGCTGTCAAAAGGCAAGCAGAAATGTTTTTTCTAATTGAGGAATAATTTTTAAATTAATTTAATAAATAAAGTATCATATATGTACGTTCTAGTCCTTATTCCTAATGAAAACACCATTATTTATCTTTCTTGGTTGTTTCATTAGATCTTTTGTTTTTTAACAAGAATTAATAAATTAATTATCAAATATTAAGATATGTAACAATTTTATTTCGCATTGTTTTAATAAACTGTAACATTTTAGTTAACAAAAGAAGGTGAAACGCTCCTTATATAAATACGAATATATTGTGTATGGTATTAACCAATAAACTGACGCAAAATATTGAAAAAATAACTTACGTGACATCAACTATATTTGCCGTTTGGCTATTGCTTAAAATTGTATTTGCTGTTAAAAAATGTTAGTTTTATTTCGTGCAGCAGAGTTAAGAACAATAATATAAGTTCTTAGGTACAGAGTTAAGAGCGCCTCAAGTTTTGCACTGAAAATTTGTACGTTATTCTTTTAATTTATTTTGTCAGTTTCCCAAAAATGTTACTTTTACGAATATCGTCTTTTTGATTGAGATGAATTATAAAATAACTTTGATTAATTTTAGTCCAAAGGTAATTTGGGACAATATTAATTTACACATAATACGTACCCATATTCATCGATCAATTGTATCCGCTTTGCGGCGCCGTTATGTGCGAAGCAGTCATTCACTACGATGTCGAAGCCGTCTAAAAAACGACATTATTTATGTAACTTCTTTAAAAAACATCGTATTCATTTTGTAAACGAAAACCCCACCACAAATTATGCACTAGCGCCTAGTGCCTTATTCAGACTCATCGAATATCACCTATTCAGTTCAGTCAGGTTTTAGGCATCTTCTGGGCGAGCTCGTTCCATTGTAGATAAACCCTATATTTTCTCCAGGGCTAGGTAATGGTCAAGAGCATGTCCATTTTTTAAGAAAAAGTACTTTAAAAGAGTAATCAGGGATCATCCGTCTACCCAAATGCCGACATGGAATGGACATAAAGAGTCAAAATCATTACCAATCACAATATTGATTGTAATGAATATTATTGATGTTTTTTATTACCACGATATTCATTTATTTTTTGTGAAATTACTCCACTAGAAAAATACTTATTTGTTTTTTCAAACAAACCAACGTGTCAGGTTAATTGGTCACGGCTGGCTTAGGTGGTAAAGTCATCAACGACCATTGGAGCATTAAAGATCTGTGAAGGGCCCGAAACGTTGGTTTGTTTGAAAAAACAAATATTCGCGATTTAGATCCGAAAAAGTACCCAGTTTCATTTCCTATGTGTAACAATCGCGAAAACCTAAGAACTCGATAATACTCCTCTAGTTTATTATAATTGTTGATACAAAGATCGAACATAAAGAAAAACTCCTTCGATCTGACAGGACACGAACCTGCGTCTATGCCATACCACGGCGACCGCTCGACCAACCTAGCTACAGATCAAATTTTGCTTTCTTTGTTCGATAATAGTATCTTCGTCTTGAGAATCAGCTAGGGCGTGGTGTCCAGAAAGTTCTAGCATTGGTTCAGTAATAGCAAGTTTCTTTTTTTCTTTCATTGCGTCTATATTGCTGCTGCCTCGCCTTTTTCTTGACTATTTTTCCATACATGACATTTCCAAAGTTCGTAAGTTCATGCGTTTGCTTAGTCCTGTCATTTTAAAGGAATTTTCCTTTGTGATCGATCTTTGTATTAATAATTATATCATTACCAAATTGTTGAGTAACGCCATTGTCTGGTAAAAACCTAAACTTCTGCTATGACAAAAACTTACCAACTGATTAAAGAACAAAATCCAGCTCAATAGACTAAAAACGCTATTACAGACTGGAGTAAACAGGTATCACGAGTAACGTTGTCGCTTAACATTATGTGAATTTGTGGCCAAGCCCGTCTATATTAAATTCTTTTTAGACGAAACCCGTGCGCTAGTTACTGCTACACGTCCTCTGAATGTCGAAGCACCTATTATTAATACGCAACAGTTGTAACTGACCCACCAAGAACGACCGTTCTTCCCGAAACTAATCTTATAATAGCAGATCAATGAACCCCGAACATGAATTCAATAAGGCACGCGACCATAACGTTAAACTGTTACGGTATCTCAATACTCAGTACTTTATTGCTTTTCCATCTCTGACTGTTATTGCTTATTTTGATTACAGTCTTAACCTATGATACTCGTGATTACCGCGGACTGAATAATATACAGGTAATGCTAGCCTATTAGTATAGGGACTCAACGAATTATGGAAGGCGCCATTTTCACTTTATTTTCTAGATTTTATCTATATCGTATATTATAATTCTTGGTATAACCTCCTAAGGCCCCATGTACATCAAAATGTACATAATATGTGAAGTAATTCAGACCCAGAATTTTATTCGTATGATCACGTATACGCCTATTGTATGTACATTGTAATGAAAATATCGCATGCTTAAGCACAATATATTCTGTACGAATTGTTAGAGTATATAGAAAAATACGTTTTTGGGTAATTTTGAGGTTAGTTTTCTCTACCTTAATTTTAGTAGCGGTAGAGCTCCTTGTGAACGAGTTTGTCCAGAGAAGTACTTCCACCTTATCCATTTCTGCCGCCAAACAGTAATGTGAGCATTACTGTGTTCCGGTTTTGAAGGGTGTGAAATTACAGACACATGGAACTAGTCAACTTATTAATATGTCACAGGGTTGTGGGCGCCGTGGCAGTGGCACTGCAACTGTTATGGACAGATGTGTCGCTTACCATCAGGCACACGACTTGTTTGTCCCATCACAACACCGAAATTAGGTTTGTATAATGATACTAAATCATTATAAAAGCCTAATTTCGGTGTTTTTTTAATTATTTAAATATTCTAAAATATATCACGAAGTATTACTTAATATTCTAGTGAGGTATCCTAAAATATTATTTAATATTTCACGGTAATATACTCTAATACTTAAATACCTATTAAAATAGGCACCGAAATTAAATAGAGAAAGCTAACCTGAAAATGTTCCCTTTTCATACAAAACTGATACTGCATACTTGCTTGGTTCTGAAGCATATAATTATACTTCGTAAATTTTAATGTACATTGGCCATTTAGCGCTGTTTTTTTATTGGAGTTTGCTGGGTTTTATGAGGATAATAAAGCCACATGTATATACGTCAAAAGTGTTTTTGTCAAATCACATGAGTTCTAAAAAGAATACGAACTACATGAAACAAAGTATGTATGAAATTTAATGACTCTCCTATTTAAACATAATAAAAATTGCAAAATTTATTTTATTGAATAAATATACAATATAAAATATACAAAGAAAAATTCTTTCAATCCGGTTGGACCGAACCAGCGGGACGAACAGTTGCAGTGCCACTCAGACCTTTAAATCACAAAAGATTTTAGGGCCACTGCCACTGCGCCTATCGCCCTGAGACATAATTTCAAAGTTCCATGTGCCTGTAATTTCACCAGCACTCTTACCCTTCTTAACCGGAACGCAGTAATGGTCGCACTTCATATTCCTTTCGCAAGGAGCTCCACTGCTATTGAAGTTAAAACCACTTTCTTATAAAGTTGTAATTTTGCAGATGTAGCTTTATTATTATTATTCCAAGGTTGCAATATATATACACATTATGAACTTTATGTAATAGCGGTTTATATAATAGTGGTTTATAATTATTGTCTAAAAGATATATCATAATAAAGTTTCTACGGCTGTAAAACTACGAAACATCACAAGTACGACAAGATATGTAATATGATAATGATTCTAAAAACAAAATCTGAGAACATTAAATATGAACAGGTTTCGGTACTCACCGTAAGTACTCCTCATATAAATGAGTAGCGTCAGAGGATCCCCAACCCGCACGGGCCCAGATATTCTCGCGCCGCTCACGCCGTACCCCGACCGGATCTCCATGTAACACTCGGGAGGCTGCAACGTGAACACCACTGGATTCCCTGTAGCTACCCTGCAAATAGATGGGACATAATTGATTGAAACAAATTTTGTAGTTGAAGTTGAATCTAATGTATGAAAATCATAGAATTAAATCAGACATTCAGTATATTGCAATTAATACAGCGACATCTGTCATCAGCTTCTGGTAATCATAAAAGTACCTGGCTGAGTGAGTAAATTCATAAGGTGCTCACAGGTGCGCTGACGGCGAAAAAAAGCTAACCTTTAAACCCTATACAAACGTCTGTAACAAACGCATAAAGAAATTCTTAAGATGTGCTGACTCGGTATGTAGCTCAGTTAATTAAGAGCGGAGGCCCCGGTGTGGCAATAGACACTGGTTCAAGTCCAGCCAGATCGAAGGAATTTTTCTTTGTGTTCGTCTTTGTATCAATAATAATAACAAATTAGTAGAGCATTTTTACAAAAAATATATGAAAATAATTATAGTAAAACATCATGATTTTCATTAGATTTTGAACACAATTTATTTTAAAGAAAATATTACTTACTCGACATCAAGGAAAGGAAATGTCACAGTCTTCCAAAAGTCGTATCCGTATTCGCAAGTGACCTTGAAATGTTCGTCAAGCTCCTCTTCAATTAGAGGATTGTACTGCACCGTTATCGTGTTCCACATCAGATTCTTCTGAAAATATATTAGGCACCGCATTATTACAGGAAAACTTTACAGGCACCTATTTAATGTGCGATAGAATTGGATTTTCACGTGACTTCTTGTAATGGAAGTTCAGAGTCGGATAGACCCCTTTTGTCAATACGTTTCAGGGGTGATGACGCACATTAATAGACTCTGTCCTGCAATCACCTGCTGTTAGAGTAATTTAGAAACAGGCCTCTGAAGAGAGATGCTATTAACATTCTACCTTACTTACTACCGTAACAGTACACTTATAATAATAATAATAAATCTTTATTACGGACAACAGAGATCCATGAACAGCAATAATCTCAGTACAGAGTACTAAAAAACCGACCTCAAAAGTACGTGGAATTACGTCTATTTGCTAAGTTTCATCGAAATATCCTTAAATTCGCCTCTATACAGGACTCGACACTGGAGATAATAAAAATCAGTTCTCACTACTCAAAGTATATGGAGAGAAAAACGCCTTGAATTGGAGAAATAGTAAAATCAACCATTAAAATAATTGCTCCTTAGTAAAATTTAGGCGCTATTTATAAAAATGTATCTTAATGCGTGAACATCCACCCTTAGAAGTGGATGATTTTCTTCAAAATGAAATGGGACCACTATGGAAGTACCCCCTTTCCAACAACAAAAAGAATCATGAAAATAAGTTCACAAATACCGGAGTTATCGCGTAACATACATACAAAAAAATATATACAGTCTAATTGTCGAACCTCCTCCTTTTTTTAAATTCGGTTAAAAATAGCTTATAATTAGGTTAGTACTTAAATTCTACTACGGATTTCGTGGTTTTTATTAAATGCCGCATCATGGGGCACTTACTCCTATCCGCCATAGTCTTCAGTAAGCCGTTGCTGCGTATTCTGTTTAATAAAGACGCCGACTTCTTCCGTAAGAGTGCCATGAAGCTGTCGACGCGCGCTTCAGCAAACATGGCAGACGCACTGCAGATCCGTGGCAGTCGCAGCAGCGTGCTGAAGGCGTTATTATATTGCGTACCTAGGGCTCTGTGCGAGCTTTGGGTACGTATAGCTATATTTCGGTTATAACTTTTGAAGACATGGCCAATTCCGCAGGCTTCGAGTAAAACCACCAACACTCGAGCGAAGACCTGCCATTTTACCTTACGTGTGAGGTGTTTCGGACAAGATCGGAAGAATCCTCAGGCGTGTATCTATCAAGACCTATTTCAAGCCCCTGAGGAAGATTTCTCAGTTCTTGACACCAGTGAAATGTAACATCCTCTTACAGGATGGAGGAGTTTACAAGCTTAACTTTGAGTGCGGTCTCTTTTATATTGGACAAACGAAGCGAAGTATTTGTAACCGCGTCAAAGAACATATAGCTGATGTCAAACACCGTCACGTAAACAAGTCTGCAGTCTGCGAGCATGTCATGGATGAACCTGCACATTCAATGAAATTTGACAAACCCCAAGTCCTTGCAAAAGAAGTCCGTTATCTACCCAGGATGCTGCGAGAGGCCATTGAAATGAAAAAACATCCTAATTTCACAGGAAAGATGGTTTCTCCGTACCACCAGTTTGGGATTTAGTATTTCCTCTAAAGAAAAATCTCAAACAGACATAAGACTGCAGTACCAATTAATATGTTTTAATTTATTTAATTTCTATTATTAATTAATAATAAATTGAACTTGATAAAAATTCATTAAATAAAATAACTTGTAAAACGTAATGGAGCGTAAATTGGAATATTTTTTTGTAGAATTAAAAATAAGGTATTTAATTAATAACTTTTTGTTTTAAAAAATATTAGACTAATTAATAATTAGGTTTGCGTTAATATTAGACATAACTGGTTGATGACTATACCATCTCAGTCAACCGTGACCATGGGACCTGTAAAGGGCCCGAAACGTCGGTTTGTTTGAAAAAACAAATATACGCGATTTAAATCCGGAAAAATAGTTTCATTTCCTATGTGTAACAATCGCGAAAACCTAAGAACTCGAGATATAATTAAAGTTACGAAGAAAAGTATATTTTTTATGAGAAATAGTGATAGACGTAACATCAATAGAAATAAACTGGCTATTCTTGACAATCGCCTTCACAAAAACTCATTTAAGGGACAATGTATACGCTTTTAATATTTCAGTATTTGCTATTTACGAGGCGTAATTTATTTTTGTTCAGGTTTATTTTTAAAATACTAACAACCTCACAGGGATAATATTACTAACATAATAAACAACAACCTTTGTTTCATGACTTTTATAAAACATAATAAATTGACCAAAAATAAACCTTTAAGTTTTTGTTGAACTATCTAATACTTTTAACTGCCTTCGTGGCCGAACGGTTACCGTGCTGGACTGCCACGCAGAGGTCTCGAGTTCGATTCCCAGGCCGGGATATTAGTATGACCTACATTTATTTCTCTTCTGAGTTTATATGTAATTTGTGGTTGTCTACCTACGTGTGTGTCCACGGCACCCGCGATATAGGGTTTCCTTATCGTGGGGCTATGAGTGTGTGTGTGTGTTATTTTAGATCTGTATTTGGTAGAATAAGTTCAAACGTGCTAGCGTCCTCCGCGAAGACTCAACCCTCATCCTGAACAGAGTTATTGCCAGTTAGAGCGATCAACTGCAATTTATTTATTTTTGTATGAATGTAAAATCTGATCAATTGTTAAAAGTCATCATCATTAATGTGTAGCTGTTGTACTAAAGGTTGTTATTACGTATATTATTACTACACCTTCTGCGCATTTGGACGAGAAAAATCCATGGTAAGGACTCCAGAGAGTTAACTTAGCTCTTTCAGATAGTTTTTTATACATATATGATAATTTAAATAATTTTTAGCTCTTTATATACTTAGGGGCTTGATCACATTGACTATAATTGGAAGTCAATGCTTGATCATTATTGAATTTGTCAGCCCCATTTTAAAAATAGTAAATGATAATTATGAACAAATGTGTTTACAAAAACTGCGAACTTAGATGAGAAAAATGAAAAGGTAAGGACTTATGGAGGTAATTTAGATCTTTCAAATTGTTTTAAATGATAATTTTTTTTTTTTAACTCTTTATTTGTTTAGGGGCTTGATCATTATTGAATTTGTCAGCCCCATTTTAAAGTAAATGATAATAGCGAACAAATGTGTTCACAAAAAGTCACTTCTCAGGGGAATCTTCTTTACGAATGTGAAGTACGTTTAGCATTTAATCAATTTTACCGATTTCCGTAACATTTACTTTCCGTCGTAGTTTCTGTAAATGTTTATCCGCCTATTTTTTATTTAGAAATAAATACTCATAGAGCTCTACTGTGTTTTTTTTATTAGCCTGGCACATTCTTCGTATCTAAACTAAGTACACGGTAAAAACAGATTACTTAGAAAAAGACAAAATTATTTTTATGAAGACAAATTTATTAAATCCAACAAAACGATCCTCTCCCTATAGACGCTAGAGAATAATTACTTGATAATAGTAAAAAAACGTCTCAATAGTGTATTTTTGTTACAAGACAGAAATATCTTATCCAAGAGCAAATTAATTTACTTCAAGTCACAAACCCACTCTAGATTCAACAAAATATTTATTTGTTATTAGAAATGTCCGATTTTGATTTGGAAAAAAAAAATGAAAAATTGAGAGGTACTTAATTATTAGACTGAAGATTTATGTTTTGTAATATCAAAAAGAGTAAATTTATAGGGTTATGGACTCAACAGTATGTGTCACTGGCGTGAAAGCACACCGATTCAGTGCCAAACCACACTTGAGGACCATTCAGAGCCGTACAAATGCTACAGCGGCAGAAAGCACTAACAATTCAAAATACATGAGATGACTTTATACTATTGAAGTTAACAAAACGATAGCGCGTTTCAGAGTATTACTAATGCCATCTAGCAGTGGCGTGATGGAACTAATTGCACGTTAAAGTTGTGCTTGTTACAAATGTAGTTTGATTTCATGCTGTAACCAAATTTCTTAAAATGTGACTATAAATAACACCCCAACAAACTAGAGATACTACGTATTGTTTCTTTGGATAAATGACTGTTTATGATTTTTATGATTACAAGTAAAAGTAATCGTTACCGCGTGCGCCTTCGGCGACATGTCACGACAACATTGACTATGAAAACGCAACGAAATGTTGCTTTAAGAATATACTCTAGAATTTAGAATATTAATCTGAATAGAAAACTACTTCTTTTTTGTTTAAGAATATATTTTCTTAAAATACACCCAAAAAATTTTGAATTCATTTAAGATTATTTAGATTTGCAATGTCCAATTAATTGATTAGAAATGAAATAAAATCTTGAAGTGAACGTATTTGTCTCAAAGTTAGAATAAACTTAAGAGTAAAATTATATTAGAAAAATGATAAGCAGTATCTTTGTAATGACAATATTTTATTACTTTTAACAAATATTTTTTCAGAATTAGCAAATATTTTGAGAAATTGCTCTTTCTTATTAGTAGAAATCCTTTTTTTCTGTGTATCAGTATTATTAGACTTAATCGCTTATAATATTATATTATCTAAAAAGATCTCTACACCGTGTGCATAACTAACTCACACAAGTTATAAGACTTTCGAGCTGGTTTTTCACGAGGCCTATAACACACAGAGATTCCTACTAAGGATTAATGTTACTAGAACAAAGGAAAGACTTCTAGAACGCAGGCTCATTGGAATGAATCGCACGGAAACATATTTGCACGTCTCAGTTAGCGGAAAATGTTAACAAAGATAACAGTGAGAAATGTTGCAAATCACATAGATATGCCACGCAGATCATTTGGAAAGATCCACAGAAGTAGAAAGTACCTACGCTACTTTGTAGATAAATTCACAAACAAGTAATTCAGGGTCGAACAAAAATGTTTTGTAAGTAAGAGTTTCTTTCGCTGGTGAACACACTACGATAATAAGCAACTTTACCGAAGAATTGATTCCCAAAAATTATTGCCCCATACGTTACAGGGAAATATGTATATAATATACAACTAATAATATTTGACATCGCGTAATATGCCAGTTCGGTTTGTTAATACGAGACAATCTGTTTTTGGTAGGTCAATGGTTTATTACGACTAAATTATATATGTAATCCAGAAAATCTGTGATTGGCCTTAACACTGGTTAGCATTAAGTACATTTTAATCGTATCAGGCTGTTAAATTTCTTAAATAAAACCCAAAAAAAAACAACATTTTTGGCTTTTGTTATTGGTACATTGAGTGTCTTCTAGATTCTTCTATTAATTATAATTGTGTCCTGAAATTGCATGCTTGAAAATTGATAGCCTTTTTGCAATAATCAGACAAATGATATTTACATACTTCTACTGCATCCATTTATAAAATTTAATATAGCTTTAGACAAATGACAATTTTTTTTTATGATATAAAGTGGCAGGACGAAACAGCCGTGCGCCTGATGGTAAGCGACACTTGCAGTGTCACTAAAAGCTTTAAATTACAAAGATCTGTAACACTGCCAATCTGTAACAATCCCATATGCTTTTTAGTTTCACCAGCATCCGTACACTTCAAAACAGGAACGCAGTAATTCACATTACAACTTGGCGACAGAAATAGGTATGGTGACAGTACTTTTTGAATGAACTCTTTCACAAGGATCTCTATTGCTACTAAAATAAAAAAATTAATAAAAAAACTCACAGTGGGATGTTTTCTAGAGTCGTCATGTTGGCTGTTCCGGCCGAGCGTCCCGCAGCGGTTGAGCTGGATGTAGAACTCATAGTAGTCCCGGCCGGAGCCGTTGATATACATGCAGTCCGGATCGTATGAGTAGCCTGTTTGTTTAACAAATATATTAGGCTAATTTCGAAACTTTTATTTTTATCGAGATCGAAGTTCGAAACGATGGTGTGACCAGGTGGCTGAAAGTCTGGCTGTACCAGTGAGCGTCGCATTCCACCTAGCCAAAGACAGAGTCCAGTGGAGAAGATTGATTGACGATGTACTTGCTCAAAGTCACGATCTTCAGCAGTGAGGACCTATAGAGGAGGAGGAGGATTTTTATCAAAATTACAGAACATATTATGTGCAGTCGATACCCTAAGGTACCGAACCCTCTAGTCGACCTTTTAGTTCTGAAAGTCTTATTATTACACATTCAACATAAAAGTGTAAAGGAATTCCAGCTTTTTGGTCGAAATTTGTATTTATGTAATGTAATTAAAGATCAAATTGGCTTGAACAGTTTCTTAAAACGTCATTCACTAATGATAAAATAAATAAGCCATACCAAAGTGAATTTTACAGCTCACAGGTTAAGTAAGGGTGAAGATTGTTAAGCACCTTTATTCACAGTAGTCTCTTAGGGCATCGACTGTACATTATAGCTGAGAATAGAACCTACAAGTACCTAGTAATCTTTCCCGAATTATTTATTACTATTACGTACAATATAATTTTAAAATGACTATGCCTAATTTTAACATGGCCTTTCTTTAAATATTTACAAAATACCTCACTAATTAACCGTAACCTTGTACCACAGAACTTAATTTCATACCCAAGAATATTAATAAAACTGTTGTAAACAATAATGCACGTACACTTAGCCGCAATAGTCACTTTTTATATTGGAATTTTGATCGCTATGTAAATGCTTTAAGGTAAAATTTTCTACGAAGAATTTTGACCCATTGAATACCTTTAGGTATGGCCCGCCGTACATAACATAGAAGGTAAGTGGGTTTATGCGTGTGAATTAAAAATAATGGCTACATTCGCAAAATTCATTGATGGACCTTCAAGATTGAAGACAGTTCTTTTAGTATGGCTATAATTTTATTACTCTATGAGTTATAGAATTGTTGTGGGATAACGGAAACGCGGATGGGCACGTTTGTCTCACGAATCACTTGGCATTGTCGAGCTTTGTCTTTTGTATTATTAAATTGAAATTCGTACGCTTATTTTAACCGACTTCAAAAAAGGAGGAGGTGCTCAATTCAACTGTATATTTTTCATGTTTTCTATGTATGTTACGCGATAACTCCCGACATTTGTGAACTGATTTTGATCGTTCTTTTTCTGTCCGAAAGAGGATACCTCAATATTGGTCCCTTTTAAGTTTAAAGAAAATATTCCACCTCTAAAGGTGGCAAACTAGGGGATAAATCGGTTTATATAGGATAAATAGGTTTCGCGCACTTTCCGGTAACCGATTTCAATAAAACTTGGCAAACACTTAATTATTAATTCCACAAACTTTTGAGGTCTTTTTTTTAATAAAAAAGGTTTTATTATACACTCTTGATAAAATGTGGAAAAAATATCAAAATAAATAGGAAATTGAACTATTTTTTCGGATTTAAACCGCGTATTATTTTTTTTTTTCAAATAAATCAATGTTCACTTCACGTCTGCTCTATGACCTATGTGTAACAATCGCGAAAACCTAAGAACTCGATAACAAAATAAATTTAAAAAAAACTTACGTAATTGTATAATCATGACTAGATTCAACATTATATGAAATTGATTGAAGTTGAATACGAAAAAAGGATATATTTGTTTCATACGTAATTTTTTTAAATCTTTTGAATTGAGACTGATTGGGTGACTGAGATTGGGTGTGAATATAAGGTTGAGTACACAAATGTAAACTATACATACGCAGGAATTATATATCGACGGTGGAAATTTGAAATGTCGTAATGGAAAATGTTCGTTACTACAAAATGTCGCTCACGACATTTCAAAATTCAATACATTTTGTCGTAAGGTCATTTTTGCTTACCTCACCAACCTCCCTCTACTCCATCATCATCCTCCCTCCACCATCCTCCTCTACTCCAGCATTCACCTTTTTCCAACAGTTGTATTTTTATTGTAAAAATATAGTGTTAAATTTGACTGCCTACTGTGCTACCGTGCTGAATAAGTTTCTTAGTTTATATACATTTTTTTTCGTCGAGGAACACAGTTCACGCACTCTACAACATATTCTCGTTTTCGATATAATCCGCAATATCTCGAAAATCTCTACTAAAAAAAATTTTCGATATCAATGATGTGTCGATAGTCTGTTCTTATCGATTGTTTTCTAATCATAATCAATAAATAATGTTATAATTATTAATACAAAGATCGAACACTCAGAAAAAATTCCTTCGATCCGGTCGGATTCGAACCGACGTCTTCTTGCATACCGTGCCAGACGCTATACCAACTAAGCCACGGAACGAACCAACGGACCTCACGAATTTTTCTATGTGCTTGAATCGTGAGTATAACAAACCAGTGGAGTAATTTCACAAAAAAGAATTGAATATCAATTCAATAAAAATTTAATTAATAAATAATGTTTTACACTTAATTCAAGTACCAGTGTTACTATGTTTTGTAAAAAAAATCAAATTCATGTCTACGCTTTGCCATGTTTGCCTCATTTTCAAACGCCTTTGCGTCTGACATCCTGAGGTATACTGGCTCCGACCACTTTTGTTCACGTAGAGCACTAAAGGTCGACTTATGTTTAGCGTGAGATTCTGAGATCTAAAAACAGTTTGCGATTGACATCAGCCACGTTTTTTCGACATTTCTATTCTGCGGCATTTTCTATATGGCACGTTTTTTTTGTTTTTTTTTAAATTATAGTTACGATATATACTTTTTATTTATCTGGTAGTCAAAAATATTTCTCTCTTGTCCGCTTATGACCTTTGCTCTCACCGCCTTGAGTTGGCTGGAAGAGATCTCTTTAAAAGATAAATCCATCTTCACTCATCTTCTGTTCAATTAATATTTTTGTTGTATTTATTTGATGCAATAAAGCCTACAAATAGTGTTTGTCTATGTGTATATATAACCTACCTATTCATATAAACCAGTTTATCGGAATTATTGGTCATCAGTTATACTATAGTACACTACTAACAGATTTTTGTTAAATAAAATGTATGAAATCTTTAGGTTTTCTCTCACATTCACCTAAACCCGTTAAAAACAAGTGTAGTGTAAAATAGAGAAAAGTAGTTTCCACGTTTTCTTGGTCCCTTTGCTGGCGCTATCTACGCGTACCATCACGGTTCAGTAGCTGAATGGACAGTTCCTTCTAATCTGTGATCGCGACTCATACACGGGAACAATACAGCCTTAATCACACCCATCTAGTTTACGGTGTAAATAACACGTATTACTTACGTTTACAGTTTAATGGAATTTTTCTAGGTGTTGTTACCGACCTATAAAACCTGTACGTATTTATAATACCATTATTACTTCACGACCATGAGTTTGCGCATTTGCGATGCAATGAGAATGCGGATCGTAAAAATCTTGAACAAAATCTTCACTCTATAGTGTAATAATCTCAGTACAGAGTACTAAAACAACCGGTCTCACAAGTCATTATTAGTTTGCCAACCTTAAAGGTGGAATATTTTCTTCATCATCAATCATCAAAATCGGTTCACAAATGTTATCTTTACTCAATGTTATAGTTAATGTTATGAGTTATCGCACATACATACAAAAAAAACATACAGTCGAATTGAGAACCTCCTCCTTTTTTGAAGTCGGTTAAAAATAAGAACAAAGAATGTCATGATTGTTGGTAAGAGCATGATGAATATTGACGTCATAAATTTTTAAGCATCTTTCATCCTCATTTTTTATATTTTAATCAGTCATCTAGAAAATTTTCCGGATTATGAAATACCAATCGCAAAGAATTTGCGTAGGCATTTTATTTATAAATACCATAGGCCTGTAACAATACTACCTGTATAATGAAAATAACAAAATGGGGAAAATTTAAATATTTTTAGAAATTCGATTTAGTCAAATTGATTTTTATTTTATAAAAAATTACAGAACTTACTTCAAAAATTATAATAAGTCGTGGTAACCCACCACCCCTCCAGCGGAGACCGTGAGTTCGAATCCGCGCTCACACCACTAAGTTTCTCGGAATTTATTGCGTTATTTGGAATTTAGCACGAGCCTTTCCGTGAAGGAAAACATCGTTTCGTCGACCTGCACGTCGAAGGTTCACAACCCTCGGAAAACGTGTGAAGTCCCCAACCCGCATTGGACCTGCGTGGCGGACTATGGCGTAAACCCTCGCTTGAGAGAAGACCCATGCCCGGCAGTGAGATGTATGAATGGGTTGATGACGACTGTATTGTATTAAAGCATACGTCCCGGTGCTGCACAAAATTTTCCTCTAAAATTATGGTCTACGAGACATCTATAAAAAACCTATGGCCGATTGATGAGCAAACTCGGCTTTCAATTTCACTTTCGAACCTAATTCACCTGTCGTAACTACAGTTTAACTAGACCCTGCTTAATTTCTAAGGTGAATGTATGAAATTTAGAAACAAAATTTTAATGCGTATTACATGCTTATTATATATGCAAATTTAGGGGTTCTCATGGAAAAAGTGCTAATTTTTTGTACAACTTTGAGAAAGTTTTTTAAACCCTTTGAAGTAACCTTTCATTTTTTACTTCACTAGATGTATACAACTGCCGAAATTATTGTTTCAAACAATTTGTAATAGGAAACGTTAGGGTAGATAAATAAAATAAATTTTAATGTATTTAGAACTTGCCTGCAGAATACACCAATCCAGTAAAAGATCCGTTGAAACCAACTCTAATCTTCATAAAATCATCTTGGCACTCGGCTTCAATATCTGTTAAGCAAAACATACATATATATATATATATATATATATATATATATATATATGAATAGATAGAACAAAACGATACATATGTAAAAAAGTGTAACCGCCTTTACTTAACCAAGTAGATAAATCCGTTAAACAAAAATAACAATTGACGATAGGAATTAAATATTCTATTCTTTTATTATTCTTATTACTCTAATTTCGCGCATCCTACAAAAATATGGGTAGTATGAATGGTTCTATAAAAAAGTATAAAGGCACACAAAGGGTTGTGCAAGTAGCCACGCGTACTCGATAAAATCTCAATTTGTTTCCCAACGTAGAGTAACTGCTACCGTAGATAGATACCACCGGGTAGAACCTGTGCGGTACATTATGAATAAACATTCTGCGAAATAATGCAACCGATTGTAATGAAGATTGCTTGTAGAAATGTGTATGAACGATGTGTCCGATTGTATTACCTTGCTAAATGATTTAATTACTTTATACGGATAATAAAAATGTAGAGTAAGAACCACTACTCATATAAACATAAAGTTCATACTAATGTCTAATAAGAAAATAAACACAACAGTGTCTTTATTATCTATTGACCTACCAACAAAGCCTACTTGAAAGCATAACGTTTATATTATAAATAGGACGGAATTATGACAATTTGAATTTTCGTTTACTTGGACTCTAAAAATTTGAAACATCGATACATTTTTTTAAAGCATGTCATAACCTAACAAAGAGAGACACAGTTATTTTCACAATTTATAATAGTGTATTTATCTGCACATTTCTTTAAGTGAATTTGTACAAAATTCTACATAATATAAATTAATTAATATTGACAGTAAAGACTACTCCATTACTCTTGTGTTGAAGTACTTTTCGTTAGATGATAAATGTGGTGAATTTTGTTAAATTATGACATGAGACGTGATGAAGTTGAAGTTACAATTTAAATTAAATGTTTTAAGTTTTTTTTTATTATATCTTTACATGTCACTGCGTTCATATAAGTTAACTCCGGACATTTTTTTCGTGGGTTTTGTTACTGCAAAACCCCTCGTCCATTTGTTGGTAGGTCAATTTTATTATGTAAAATAAGGAAAAATTAAAAATAATTATTAGTATTTTCAAATTAGGAACGAGAAAAGCCATACCAGGTTAAATAGAGACAAATTATCTCTTCTTTCTGCATATCCTTCTTCAAGATAGTGCTAGTAACACTCACATTGCACGCGGCTGCCGTTGGTTCTATGACGGCGGTACTCTCTCTCCCAAGCAGGCGGCTCACGCCAAGGCGCCTCGGCTGTCGGTGACCGCGGTTTGATGCTCACCGGAATGTAGCTATTTTTCTCCGACAGGAACACCACCTATTATAACAAAATTGTTTACACATACTTTGACTTACGTGTTATTTCCTTCCACTAATGCCACTAAAGACCAGGTTGAGATCAAACATTCACTCTAAAATCTCAGCGTGCTTTGGTTTGAGTTAAAAAAAAACACTGCCTAAAACAGTAGTTTAATCAAGTAGGCAGAACGATGTGTTCCTTCATTCCTTTCTCGAAATCATTCATGGAATACATATTAAATTTTTAAAATTATATTCACATTTCGTTTCCCATGTTCTCGAGTGCAAAGCAATAGCTCGCCAAACAATACATACTTATAGATGTACTCGAGTAACTAATCTGACAGGGAATCAAGATTATACAGCATCACGTCGGCATGTTGTAGGTCGCTTAACATTCATACGCGGCGCGGAGGTGGCGCAACTCTAGATAGCCCTGAGATAACTAATCCGCCGCCTAACTGCATCCTTCCGGCACACGAGTCTCTGCCTTCGACGTGCCCGAACCCAACTCCAATGCTTTACAACCTCCGCTAATTATGTAAACAACTTCAACACTCATTTACAAATTAACAACATTGACCTACAAATGCCTACTTGAAAACCACCAAGCGATAACTTGCGCCCCCACTGACTTCCGAGAGTCACGGTTAAACCTAATCATTAACGCGTTGAAATTGCATCCATTATCTTGCCAACAAAACATTCAAAACAAACTACAGAAGCGGCTGAATGGCGTCCGGTAATGCACCATTTCACAGTGACGGATGCTTTGGCACAAAAAAATTAATATAAATGCCAATAAGTGTGCCAGGGCGGTTCGCACGCCGGCGGCGCCCCAGCGGCGTCAGTCGCTGCACGCGCATTACACAAATTGGGCCACTAGTCTACGGCGAACACGTAGAGCAAAGAAACCTCTGTCGCCGCATCACTTCGACAAAATTGGTTTGGATACAAAAAACAACCGTGAAATCACTACGCATACCACTCATCGCTGCGTATTTAAGCACTCTTAACCTTACGAAATTGCTTAAAAAAAGATAACGCCTACATCGCTTTTGACCCATATATTTACTATGGCAAATTGTATTATTATATTATTTGGTGTTTTACGAACCGTTACCATATCCAAACTTTTATCTACATATAAATTACACGTATTTCGCTATTTATTGCTCGTTATCTACTACCCTTAGTGTATTGCCCCATAAAAGCATTATTAGTACTGTAGTTTATGTACTCAACGTTATAATCCAAGTAACAGCTAATATAGCACTTTCAAAACATTGTTTTGTGCTGGTAAATAAAAAGTGAACTAAACAAATATCAAACTTTCAATGGCAAATTGTTCAAACGAAATTAATTATTTTACTTTCTAATCACAAAATGCGACAGTAACAGCGTTTACCGTATGATTTTAATATTAGAATATTATAGTACGAATATTGACCTATAGTACGGGAGAAAGCGATAAGACCGCCAATTCTTAACCTGCTATAATGAGTTTTTGTCATGTAATCTTCCTATGTATGTGGTGCTAACAATAAAGAATTTTTTATCTATCTATATACGGGGTACCCCGTTTCGCAGTATGAATCTCAAAAAACCAATAGTGTAGTTGCCGTCTACGGCTTTTCCATAGAGAAATATCAACAACGTACTGACAAAACTTATGTAAAAAAATTACTTGCCTTCATTGAACCTTTTATATTTAATCAATGCAAGCACTAAGGCAAGAAAGTGCTGACATTTTTGTGTGCGGTACTATTTAAATACTGTCCATTAAAGGGTTAAGTTAATATAGAACTAACCTTATATTAAAAGATAATAAGTAATAACTGTTAGAAATAGTTAGAAAAGGGAAATATTTTTTCTCAGAATGCAATTATCATGAAAAACAATAGCTGTTTTTCATGATAATTGCATTCGTTTAAAAAAATATATAATTAAAAATTGAATTTAAGAACTTTAATTATCACATTCCAGAACTTATTTTAAACACTCTCTTTGTCCTTCGTTATGTCGTATAGCCGCCCGGCTGTATTACATGAATTATGCTTTACAGTCTTACATACTGTACTGATTTCAAAACTATCCTAATCGTAACAGTACTTCTGGGTAAGGACAAGATAAGGCTTGGAAAATGCGTGTTTTCAGGGCAGACAGTTGCAATTTATGGTGTGCAGCAATCTGAGCCAACTAACTGCCTTCAAGGGGTCAGATGCTATCGCGACAAGCATGTCACTCAGACAATCGCAAACAATCAGCGCCGAGGTTAATATGAATACATTGTTGAGAAAAAAACTGAGATTTTAATTAATTTGATTATGAATTCTCTATTAAGTAATTTCTTTACACAATTTTCTGGGAAATATTATTTTAACTAATACCCTTGCTACGGGGACCCAATTTTATTCATATACATCCGAACATCTACCCACAGACCTGAAAAGTGTTAGAAACGATGAAACGTTTTGTACCCGACTAAAAAACCTTTTATTGGATATTGAATTGTACAGTGTCGATGAGTTTCTTTTGAAACAATTTTAATTTTATTTTATTCGACAAGCAGTAGTTATACTACTTTATTTTATATTCATTATTATTATTATAATTTTATTACTGACGATCATAGTTATCCCTTGACATTGTATTTCCAATTGTAATATTGTGACATTGATAACATGAAATAAACGATTCTATTCTATTCTATTCTATTCTATAAATTAATCCTAGTTTCAAGTATTTATTATTATTTCCTTAATAATGACCACTAGCTTATACTGTATTTTTATATCTTATCTGTCTATAAATTAAAAGCCACATATGGCATACATCAAATGTGCTTTTAACATGAAAGTCACAAAAGTAATATGAATTACATGAAACAAATTATTTATGTGTGAAATTTTATAACTGTCATTTAAGCATAAAAAATAATCCTCAAATTTTGTTGTACGTATTTTGCACATGCGGCCTAACAGGGAACGAAATCTTTGATTGAAAATTTAATATTCCTCACGGCACTAATAGCTTAGTCATTTTTAATTTCACAACTTACAAACGCGATAATTTTGGCAATAAAACACCCATAGTAGAACAAGGCCCTTCGCAATACGTCGATGATATATCGATATTTCTCAACAGGGGCTTCGCGCATGCGTATTGTCGACGAATTGAGCAAGCACAATCCGGCGTGGGCGCCCGCGGTCATCCGTGAAAATGTTCACTTACTAACGTAGGATACGTTACCATTATTATTTTAAGTTTGTATTGGGCTTCTTTCTGTTTGTAACATTTTTAAATACATCGAGCTCTAACGTTTTTACTATTGTAACACATATGGGACTTGTAAAGGGTCCGTAACGTTGGTTTGTTTAAAAAAACCAGATTTACGCGGTTTAGATCCGAAAAAGTAACTACATTTCTTATTTTTAAATATTTTTTATTAAAAAATCAAGTTAATGCACATTTAACCTCCATCTCACCTAATGGAAAGTATATATAATATTAACACGATATGTATTTTAAATATGTACATATTTTGTACCTTTTATTGCTAAATTAAACAACACGACTCTCTTAATATAAGTTTATTATTAGTTTAGAGCACAAAATCACGCCATGTAACTTATTATAGTTGCAATACTTTATCTACGATATCCGCATTTAAATAACGGAAATAAATATACCATTCACATAAATTTCGTCATAACAACAACAATAATGTGCAAAAAGTATAATTTGCTAAAACAACTCAGTCTTAAAATATCATGTAAATTATTATTTTTAAAAAAGTAGCCATCATGAAAACGTATAAAACAATTTCTGACAGTGTAACAAATTAAGCATAAAAGCTAAACCAATTGACGACAAACTACTTTTGGATATACTGTGGTACATTTCACTTTTCATCGACAAAAAATACGGTCACCAGTCTTTCATACATTGTTTGAGTACTTTTAATCGTAATATAATTGACCGAAAAACTTCAGTGTGATGTTAAAAAGTATTCCGACTGCGTCTAATCGTATATATTCAGTTAAAAGCTTTGGTAAAAACCAGCCTCAAAGTCGTCGACAGTTGAACAAATTGTGGGAAATTGAGGCCTATAATCAGAAACCTTTCACCCAAATCTGTGTTATTGCAGATTGTGACTATAATGGAACAGAATTTAAAATTGTTAATACATTAAGTTCATGCAAATACGAACCTTAATACTTAATGGATTTATTCGCAAAATAACTTACAATGACGCTTAACACCAGGCGCACGACTTGGTCGTCCTGGCACTTGGTATCATAAAAAAAATTGTATAAAGTATTATAAAAAATAAAAAATACAGATTCATGGACATACTTTAAGGAACATTAGGAAAAGGATGAATTATGGTAACAATGTTCATATTATCCACTAGCCACATATGTATTACTTAAAATAGTTTAACTTTATGAACAAAAATTGCACCGAAAAATAAATCAAAATTGTTTTACAAAAAAAATGCAATAATTAATCTAATTATTTACTATCTATCTAAGGGTACAGTTAATGCAAAATATTAAACTAAGCAAAGAAACGAAGAATCCATTCATTTGTGATCGTGGTGTACAAAAATGTACAAAAAGGTGAAAATAATTCACATTAAAGAAAAAAAAGATGTCTTAGGTAGTCTGTATATTTTTTTTAACATCGGACCCCATTTTATACCAGAACGATTAAGGTCTATCCACACACATCCGGGTCGTGCCCGGGCTGCGGCCGGGACGTGGACGGGTCGTGCTCCGTCAGGGGCTCAAAAAAATATCGTTGTGTATATTTTGTATGAACTCGTTCACACATGTCCGTGTCCGGGCTGGGGCCGGGACGGGCCCGCAGTTCATACAAACTAGCATGCCCCGTCCACGTCCCGGGCACGGCCCGGATATTTGTAGCTAGTCCTTTAATCGAAATCAAAAGAGTAATTCTTTTTTCAAATTTAACCTTGGTATTTGTGGCCAGTGGGTCTGGATCTTAGAGGATGGGAAAAAATAAAGGAAAGGAACTGCCCTAACTACAGAATGAACGTGCCTAAAACAAAAATTGAACTCTACAAATGGCGAATTTCTGTAGTGTATACCATAATCTATCGATAAGTCATTATCGACATGCAAATGTATGGCTTGAATATTGAAACTGTTTCTTTTCTTCTGTTTGTGTGTTTTGTTCATTCGATTGATTGTCGCTTTTGCTAATGCCGCATCCCTTAATGCTGCAGCTTAATACCTAATTGTTGTCACTGTCAATATTTTTGTCCATTTTATTTATACTATATGGATAGTATATATAATTCAATAAAACACTTGGAAAAACATTTGTTTTGACATTTGATGTACTTCCCTTTGACAACCTTATGATATACCTCATGTACTGTGAAATTAACACAGTTGGCATTTAAGATGACGTTACGTATATTCGATTCCCGTGTTTGGCACAGACCAATGTAACGCTATCTCTTTTGGCTTACGACGGCACGCAGTAGTTAAACAAAGACAATAACATTTTTATGTTTTCAATGTCGAAATGCATCATATACATATAACGTCTGATTTATATATGTCAACATAACATATCCTTTGGTTTCCATAGTCTAAGATATGGACATTGTAATCATAATTCAACCTTTTTTACCGTTCCTATAAATAAACATGAGTGTATACAGACTCATAATATGTACACTATCATTATACAGCTAACATTGACCTGCTAACAACTAAGTTGACCCGAAAATATCGACAATCTAGATCAAACTATTTTAAAGGAAAAGGTAAATAGAAACAATGCCTTTATACTCTTAATGGCAGTCACCTCCTCTTGTTGGGCATTCATTCATTTTTAGTTCAAACCACATTTTATCAACCCGCAAATTATTAGGTGACGTGAGAGCGAGAGTGAGGTCGTAGCAATTGGACCACTAAACCGACGATCAATTTAGCTATCACCGCCACAAAAGCACCATTTGAAGGTGAAAATCACTTTATTTTCACTTTACACCTAAATAATGTTGACTTAGGTAGACGTCCATAGATTCAATGTATTAGTTTTACTTTCCAAACGACTACTTTCGAAAGGGATATATGCGAAATAGCTGATATGTTAAGTTTAATTTGTGTTTTAATAAATTACTTCTTCTATTTGGATAATTTTTTTTAGTAGCAGTAGAGCTCTTTGTGAAAGAGTTCCTCCAGGGAAGTACTGCCACCTTACCTATTTCTGTCGCCAAGCAGTAATGTGAGCATTACTGCGTTCCGGTTTGGAAGGATAAGTAAAGGCGCTGGTTAAATTACAGGAACATGGGACTTTTCACCTTATGTCTCAGGGTCACGAGCGCAGTGGCAGATTTCGCAACTGTTTACGGATAGGATAATAAAAAAATTGTAATGTGTTCATAATGTACTTTATTGGTGCCTTATATAATAAAATTAAATGTTTTAATATTAATTTCATTGGATATCATGTTATTTTTACTACCATGATATTGGCTGTTATTGTGATTATTATTGATAGAAAAAAAATCCTTCGACTTGACTGGATTCGAACGAACGTCTGTTGCCGTTTAAACGCAATACAAAAATCTGTAACTCATAGCGAAATTGGTAAGATCTACTGACTCGGTCTGTAGCTCAGTTGGCAAGAGCTGTTGTCCCGGCATGGCAACAGA